TCTAAACGAGCCGAGGGCACTACTGGGGAGAGAAATTTGGCGTTGGCTGCTCTCGGGCTCGGTTTGTTATTCTGCGGTCTGCACAAGCCCCCGCCGCAGACTTTAATTTGAAAAGAGGCGCTTTCCTCTTTAGAAAGCGCTTGTGTAAGCATCCTCCCCGGTTAACAGTTCAGGTTGTGCGTTCAGAGGCAGGGCAGGTGTGGAGGTGTGAATGATAAATGGGCTTGGATTCGGTTTCAGGGCTGTCCTCAGCCGTTACCTCGCTGCCTGTGTACAGACACCTGCGTACAGACACCGCTGTGCTGCAGGCGTTACCACACGCAGTCAGGCGTGCGCTCCTTCGACAGGAGCTCTTTTCCTCGCTCTTTGTAAAAATAACGCGTTACCCAGCTGCTGCTGTGATGAAGCAGCTCCGTGTACCCACCACCAGCACCCTGAGACCGACCGCTGGAAGTGGGGACCGCTTTGGTCGTGCCTCAGCTGCAGGGGCTCATGCGATGATGCCATTTCTAAAACTTACAAAAGATCGCTTTTACCGCTGCCCCGTCGAGCTGGAATCGCTGTCGCCACACGTCCTATGCAGTTTGCCCCATGTGCTTTGTGATGCAGATGGCAACGTGCACAGTCCTCACCTAAAGTAAAACAAACGCTTTCCGGTATTATTTACAGCACAGAAGGATCAATACAGCCATTGAAAATTCTGTTTTTATTGTTCTGTGTATTTTACGCATTATGTAGTGTCAGTGCTTCAAGACGTAATAACCTAAAAACTGGAAGAAGACTATGAATATTTGAAGAGTCCTTCAGGCGTCAGCGATGCTTGATCTGAAGTGCTTCAGTCTGCAGCCTTTTATATTGCCGCAGATGCAGGCGTCCACAGCTGCACACTCGTAATCCCCAATAAGGAGCTTACGCTCTTCACTGTCATTGATTTCAGGAGGTTTTGAGGGCGTTCAGTGCCTGTTCAGGATGCTATTAGGGACCTGTGAACCGTGAGATGCTCCTCTCAGCGGGGGCACTGGCGGCTGCAGAGGTCTGTGCTGTGGGGCTCAATTGCTGCTGGAGCTCCCGCCGTCTGACGAGGGAAGTGTGGCACCGCACAATGCTGGAGAGCCAGGGATGCACAGCTTAGCAATTGTTTTCATCTCGGGCAATTCACACTATTGTTGTGCTAAGAAATACCGTGTAATGACTAGGGAACCCTGAGGAAAGCAAAGCGTGCTTTTGAAAAAGCCAACTGTAACCAGCATGTGGGAAGTAAAGCGTCCTGGGTTTGGCTGGTGCTGACATCCAGGAATAACAGAAGCCTGGGCAGGGATAAAGGCGGCTGCCCACGTCCCTGGGTAAATGGGCTCTGATGTGGCTGCTCAGGTACCGACATGGGGTCAGACCAAGGAGCCGTGTGCCTGTGGCTTGCAAGTGCTGACCCGTGTTGCTGGAGTGTGCTGGGCACCCTAAATTAGTGATGTGTAACCTGCATTGTAGAGGTGGTGTGGAAATACTCGGCTTGTCTGGAGTTACCCAGGTGTGCCCCTAGCAGGAGGAGTTACGTAGCTTGACACACTTGCTTCCTTCATGTGCCAGCCCCACATCGCTTCTCTTGTCTGGAGATCGGTTATTTTGACCTTATGATTGGAGCTTAAAGATCAGTGAGATCGGGTTGGTTTTAGATTAGTGCCTGGTATCCGCAAAGCTGCTAGTGTGGAGTGTTTAAAGAAGGGCAGAAGCTTGCAATTTCATGACTTTCTTTGATTCCAGGGCCGGGAGCTTAAGGAAGAACATGCCAAGCAGCGTGGTGCTGCCGAGTGCATTGATGTGGCTGTGGAGGGATTAGTGCCTATCTGGTGAAGAGCCCCCTCAGCCCGGTGCGAGGTTGTCAATGTGCTGTTATCTTTCTTCCAGTTGTAAGAAGCAGCAGCCAGCTGAGGGTCCCGGTACGATGGAGGGGTCAGGCAACTGCGGCCGCCGTGACGGAAAGCGCAAAACCTCACATCCAGCCAGAAGTGCGGTGAGTTTGCAGCGAGGTCTGGGCAGGTGTGACCTGCTCTCCTCGCCCTGTCTCTCCCCGATACGGCGTGCTGCTTCGCTTGCGCTGTGAAGCTGATTATGTAGTAAAATGTGGCAGTCACGGAGCCTGATCTCGGTTTTTGTGGTGTGTGATTGCTGTTATCTGGCTGCTGCATGCAGCGAGCCTCTTGTTTTCACAGTTCTGTGGGTGAGGGTTGCCTGCCCTGCTCTGCAGGACATGGTGAGGCCTGGGGCAGTGCAGGAGCAGCAGCAGAACAAACAGTAGGATGTTATTATTGGAGATCCTGGTTCCTGCTTCCTGGGTTTTATTCAGCAACCTTCTGACGCACGCTTCAGGAAGAAATAAGGGAATGGAAACAGGCCCTGACCCATCGAGACAGGCTCAGGCCCCTCTCAGTGCCCCCCTGTAAGGCTTTGGCTTGAACAAGAGTGGGGCAAAGCTCCCTGTGCAGATCCTGGTCTCTGGATTCAATGGGGAAATGCACCTCTTGGGTGGGAGCAGCTGTTTCTGTCAGAGGTGGTACCACCATTAGAACAGAGTGGTGGACCTGCACCTGCATAGAAAATGCACTGTGGGGGGGAAAAACCCCAAAACAACAACCCAAACAAAACCTTGCGCCTGTCTTGTGTGTGGAGTGGCTCTTGGCTGCTTCCACTGCTCTAGGGGGTGAGATGTGCCTCCAGAGTCATGAAGACCAAGCCCTGTGTGGGTGGCTCATCTGTCTTCTGAGGAAGCTGCTGCTTGCCTTGGCTGGGATCTGCAGCCGAGATGGTGCCTTAGACCCTGTGTATAACCTCCCTCACAGCCTTCAGCTGCCAGATAACTTTCTCCTTATATTTCCAGTCAAACTCGGTTGCAAAGTGAGTGCTTTTTTGAAAATGTGAAGATCATGCAAATACCTGTTGTCTGGCTACTCGTGCTCGTAGTTTATTTTCTTACATAAGCAGGATGAGCCTCTGATGATGCTTTTGCAAAAGACAAAGCTGATTGTTTTGTAATAATAATAATGATAAAATGTTGTAGGTCACTAGGATTTGAAATCTGTCTTGCTTACGCAGGAAACCCAAGACTGGGATCTTGATGTTGAACATGGGAGGTCCAGAGCGGCTGGATGATGTGCACGATTTCTTACTTCGCCTCTTCCTGGACAGGGATCTGATGACACTTCCAGCTCAAAAGTGAGAAACGCGGTGAATTCCTGCGTTACAGTCAGCGTTGGGGGTTGCTTCTTTTGGCTGTAGGCTCAGGCATTTGACTGCTGATTATGTCAGCATTTCTTGAGACTGTTTCATCTTGGGACCAGGCAGTGCAGGGAAGGGTGTTACAATTCTCTTGAAGTAGGCCTGCCAAAATCAGTCTCTTCTCATTGCCGTATGTGGTTTCCTGTCACCTAGTAAGCTTAGGAAGCTGCACTATAACATTAGACAAGCCATGCAGTGCTGGTTTGCTATAATTTGGGGAGATAGCCACGGAAAACCCACTGCAGCAAAGAGATTTGGGGAGAGGGGTGGTGATTTGGGTTATGATGTTAAGACGTGTACCTTCTGGTTGTTCCAGTAAATTAGCACCGTTCATTGCCAAACGCCGCACACCGAAGATCCAGGAGCAGTACAGCAGGATTGGAGGTGGATCACCGATCAAGAAGTGGACGGCGGTGCAGGGAGAAGGCATGGTGAAGCTGCTGGACAGCATGTCTCCTCACACAGGTACCTCTTCACCACGCTTGTTAAGGGTCTTGTGTCTCGTGTTGGAAGTATATGCTTGTAAAACAGGGTGCAGGGACCATCTGATGCAGAGCAGCTCCGAGCCAGAGCTCACCACCACAAAGGCCTTGTGTTTGCCTTGTGCCAGCCTGAGCCTGGAGAACGGGCGACTGAGAGCATCAGGAGCCTCGCTGTTCTCCAGCACCACGGGTGTCTTTCCTTCCTCTGAAATGTCCCTCTGCAATTAGTGCTTGGATGTATCCCCAGCTTTTGAGGCTTTGAATCTGTAACTGTTAATAATGGGTAAAAGACTTAATGTAATTAGGGCTGATTTCAGGACTGAAGGGCAGGTCAGCTGGGAGAAGAGACAAGGTCTCATAGCTGAATGCTGCAGGGTTGGTTGGGTGATAGCAGTCCTCCCCACCCTGGGACCTGAGCAGGAGATAAGGCCTAACAGCTTGCCTTGGGTGGCAGCAGATACTGGCTTTGCCTGTTCTTCCTTGATGTAAGGCGGATGCAACTTCCTGCCCTCTCTTGGGATCACCGAATCTCTGAACCTCACCCCTCACCACGAGGAGCTGTGACCTGCACGGCTCACCCTGTGCCAGGCTGCCTGGTGGCACCGCTGTGATGGGAACGGGTGCAGGCGCCTTTTTTCCATGGACGCTGCTCTCTAGCTTAATTCCAGCAGTGGCCCCTGGTGAGTCAAAGCCTGAAGCCAAAACCACACCAGGCTGCAGCATCCGTGTCAGTGGTGTTTTTATCAGTGGCAGCCCCTGAAGGGCCAGGCTTGCACCAGGTCCTGAGGATAAAGCTGAGAAATGTTATCTGCTCTCCTCAGTGTACCACTCCCGCTTGCTTTTGTTTGGTGACAGCTTGCTGTGGAGTCACACCCACCTCTGCACGGTTCTTACGCCTGATAACTCATTTGGGGACCACCTTATTACTAATGGTAGCTGCAGTTTTAAAAATTGGACATGGTAACCATTGAACTGAGTGCTGACCATTTCCTTGAGCATTTTGAGTAACCTTGCAGCAGTACCCACTACTGTGCAGCTCCCGAATCGCAGTTGGTGTCCAGAGGGAGCTGTGTGTTTGGGAATATTGTGTGCTCACCATAGCCCTTTGGGAGCACTGGGCCCTGTTAATGAGTAACTCGCAGGTTGTGGTGGTGAGACTTGGAACACGTGGCAGAGAAATTCTCTGCATGCACCTTTTACCTTTACCTTTGCTTTTGGGGCGTAGAGTTTGTAGCTGCAGTTGGTGAAGAGCTCGCGTTGACAGTATCAGTACCCACCTGTGAAATTCCCTTTAACCTACACAAATTAATCTATTAATCTATTTACTGACATGTACCTTACATGTCAGCAGTGGGACCAGTATAAAGTAGTAAATAAACAGCCTCACCCGTGTCATCTGGGAACGCCATGATTTAAAAGTGAAGCTGTATTGTTGCAGGCTGGGTCTGAAAATGAACAAGAGTTCCTCCTTTCTGAGTGAGTGGGGCTGGGCAGGCTCAGTCGTCTGTGCGAATGAATCACACAAAGATGATGACAGGAAAATCCATTTCTGTTGTTGGGGCTTGTTTTTCAGTGGTGGCATCAAGTAGGCTGATGTCTTGCAGTGGTAATTACATTTCAGGAAGGCATATCTTGCTTTTTTATGGTTTTTAATTGTAACAAGTACTGAGAACCGCTGTAAGCTGTATTTTAGGTGAGATTCCCTTGTCAACAGAATGAACACTCACAGGACGAGGGGGCCAGGTTGTTTCTTTAGATTGGCATCATTTGGTGGAAGGAGCTGTCGTATTTGCAGTTGTTCTGACTGAACTGTAACAACAAAGTGAATATTTATACAGACATGGAAATCTCTGCTCTGCTGCCTGTGGTCCAGGACAAAGCATAACGCTGAGAGTATTGCCAGAAGTTTCCAAGTCGATGTGTTTTTCCCAGAATTTCCTTTCCCAGGTTAAACTTGTCTGTGCTCTGGTTAGTCAGGTCTTGGTTTTACTGCTATTTAGAAATGTGTCTGGGGTTACTGTCTCCGGGGCCCTGAAGATGGGTCGTTCTTTGCTGCTGCTCCCAGCTGGGAGCTCTGCTGGCCCCTGCGGAGAGCTGGGCTGGCCAAACCTGTTTTCTGAATCCGGCATCAGCGTAGGGAGCGGGGACCAAGCAGGCACATCTGCTCCCTCAAAGCCCTGGGAAATGCTGTTTCAGAGCTGGTGACCCGGAAACCTGACAGAGAAACTTTGCTTTTGTTCTCCCAGGAGCCGCTGGGCTCTGCTTCAAACCAAACAAAAACCCACCCACAAAACGGAGCAGCAAACCTCCCCCTCCTCCCGCCCCTAACCCAGGCACAGTCCCCAAACCAGACACCCAAAAGATAGAGATGGAAAGTGGAAAAACATAAAATGTTGTCCTTGGAAAGAACAGTATGGCCTCCAAAATAGTGTTTAAAGGGATGAAAATTTCTATGAAGAAAACAAAACCTCCAGAAACTAGAATGAAAGAACATGCGTCCCTTAAAATGAGCTGATTTTCTTCAAGTGCCTTATAGGCAGCTGATGTCTGTGAGGTGCAGGGCCTTTCCTGTTGGAAAATTGGACCCACTGAAGCTGAGCTCTGTAGAGTATCTCGATGCTGACACGCAAAATCGCAGCCCAGTTATATTTGAAAGTTTATGTAAATAAAATTCCCTGGAGTGTGCAAACTGTTTAATCAATGTGTGTCCTTTTGTGCGGCAGAATGGAGAGAGCCTCCTCTTTCCTGAGGTTCTGGCATTTTAATTACACTGGTGTGTTTGAAACGTGATTTCAGTGAGCAAGTTGAGCTCTGCTGTTAGGAAGCCCGCAGCATGTCTATATCTGGTCTGGTGTTCATTTAGCATCTCACGGTGACACGTTTTTACCCACACATCCTTTAAATCAGAGCTTGCCCAGTAAAACGTCAGAGCTCTGCGCAGTCTGGAAACCACGCCTCTGCTCAGCTAAGTGAAATGAGAGGAGCGATGCTTCCTGCAGAAAAAACAGCGGTATAGTCACTTCAATTCTAATAACAGCACAGTGAGCTACTAGAAAAACACTTGGGCAAAGAAAGATGTGTTTATATGACAGCGATTTAGAAAAGTAGCCAGAAAGTGATCAGCAAGTTCTGCACTGTACCTGTTAATGGTGTTACTGAGAGTTCTCTTTTCTCCCTGCTTCTGTTTTGCTGTGCGGTGGCTGGCAGCACCCCACAAATACTACATTGGCTTCCGCTACGTGCATCCTCTGACAGAAGAAGCCATTGAGGAGATGGAGAAGGACGGCGTGGAGAGGGCCATCGCATTCACCCAGTACCCCCAGTACAGCTGCTCCACCACCGGTGAGCGTCGGGCAGGGCCGAGCGTGAGCAGTGTGAGCACAACCTGTCCTGTCTGCCCTTCCTCGGGCTTCATTGCCCATGTGAGCTCCTCTGTATTCACTGTCGTGCCGAATTTTAGGTAGAAACTTTCAAACTAACTTTGTTTACCGTTGTTTTTGTGGGATAACATGAACTGAGGCTCAGGAACGCAGCTGAGCAAGCTTTCTTCATGGAAACTACAACAAGAATTGCTCTTCTGTTGAAGGATGGTTTAGCAAATTGGTCTTGGTTTGCACTTTGTATGAACTGTGGTGCAATTGTTCCCATTTGAGGCTCTCAGTTCTGGTTTACAGTTGCATTTTAAATATGCAGCATTTAAAAATACTATAATACCTTGCTGCAAAGCTGTTTTCATCTGACAGGTTGCTCATGCCTTGGCTGAACTTATGTTCTTGGTTCTCTGCATTTCAGGAAGCAGTTTAAATGCCATTTATCGCTACTACAACAAGAAAGGGCAGAAGCCAAAGATGAAGTGGAGCATAATTGACCGGTGGCCTACACATCCCCTTCTCATTCAGGTATGGATTTGAATGAGAGCCTTTGAAGTCAGCAGTCGGTGAGAGGTGTGAACCGAGCAGCTCTGATGTGTTATCAAATTGGCATTCCCTGGGGTTTTCTTAGGTTTGATGGTTGATGCAGGAGAAACTTGGTATCTTTGCATTGCCAGCTGACTTTAAAACAACAAAGAACTAAGTCAATACAGAGGTTACTGAGTTTCCTTTTTAGAAATATCTGCTACCAGAAGAAACACAGTGTAACGTTAACCAACAGAAGCATTCAGAGGAAATGCTTCACTTAGATCAAGTCTTAGCTTCTAACAAAGCTTACAAGAGTTTTAGCTATAGAAGGTACTAAAAGATCAACCTGTTCGCTGATTTAGGCTGTATTTATATATATATTATTTAAAAAAAAAAGATAAATACTTGAGAAGAATGAAGGAATGCTTCAATGTGAGAGTACGTTTTAGTTACAGTAATGAAATGTCTCCTGTGTATGAAATGACAGAAGGATGGTGTGAAAGTGATGACCACACACCTCCTCTTTTAAAAACGCAGCTGTTATCATAGCAGCGTTGGCTGGAAGGAGCCTCTAGAGGTCTCCAGTCCAGGTTCCTGCTCAGAGCAGGTCCATGGTTCTCTTGGTTTGCTGCCAGCATCCAAAAAGCATTGGGAGGACCACAGTGGGCCCAGGGGGCTGTGTGTAATACCTGTGTACTTGATGGTGTGTAATGCCTGCTGTCCCTCACTATTGCCCCATGCTTACCAAAAGGTAATTTTGGAACGTCAGAGCTGCCTCTCTCGTGTCGCTGGAGCGCACACGATGCCTCCCAGTGGCTCTGATTCAGCTCTTTGCTTTGTCTTTTCTGAACAGTGCTTCACCGATCACATACAAAAGGAGCTGAACCTGTTTCCACCTGACAAAAGGAAAGACGTCGTCATCCTCTTCTCGGCTCACTCGCTGCCCATGTCTGTGAGTTTCCTCGCGCCGCTTCTGCCCTTGTTGGACCAGGGTCACACCGGGTGGGCTCAGCAGAGGGTGTGTGGCTCGCACACCCGTGGGGCAGGGCCAGTCATGGAAGTGCCAGGGAAACAGAAATAGGAAGGTGAGTTAGGGAGCTGTGGGTGGGAGCTGAAGGCGAGGTGTGGGAGCTGTGGGTGCTCTCCTCACGCTCACAGGTCTGTGCTGCTGGCCACTGCCGGAGATGGGGCGCTGGGGTGGGTCAGGCTGCGGCCATGGCCTCACGAACTTCCCAGCAAAAACTGGATGGTAACGCAGGGGAGATCTAGTAGAAGCAGTAATGATGCTGTCCCTGCAGGAATGAAAGTACAGTCTTTGCAAGGTTGCAGTAAACGACTTGATCCTCTGTCAGCAACCAGCAACTGCAGTGAAAGGGCTCTTGGAGCATGTTTTTGAAATGTCTGTCACTGAAATGTAACCATATCTGTACACAGAGATAGAATAACCTGTCTTTCCTCATGGGGAGGAGGAGGAGTACCTGTAAAAGGTCTGGTGTTTGTGTTGAAGGTGGTGAACCGTGGTGATCCGTACCCTCAGGAAGTGGGAGCCACTGTGCAGAGGGTCATGGAGAAGCTGAACTACTCCAACCCGTACAGGCTGGTGTGGCAGTCCAAGGTACGTGCTCAGGGCTGGGAGGCTCTGCAGGTGGTGGAGGTTGTGATCTTCCACCTTCAGGAGATCCTAACCTCAGGGCCTTTATTCCGATTTTCAGCAAGCCTTTCTGCTAGAACAGAATCCCAAACTTGTGCTCAAGTTCAGTCTTTCCAGATATTTATCCACAGTTTCTCACCTTTTTTGTATATTGCATCATTTAAAAGTAGATTTTATTGTGCCCATTAGAAAACCTGTGATCTCATAACATGTAGTTTGGCGTTTGTCTTTCTCTGTCAGGAGGAAGAACTGAGCACTCACTGGGGTTTTTTAAGGTGTTGCTTTTTGAGGCCCTCTGAGCAATTTTTCTGAAGCCATCACTGTGAAGTAGACATTCTCAGCAATAATAATAGCCTAATCCAAACAGGCTTCGTTATTCTTGACGAGGAGGGCTTGCATTACTTTGTACTTATTATTACTGCTGCAAATAGCAAGGAACATAACTTTTACCAGAATTTTATGGTAGAAATAGCCTTATGTCTCAGAAGCGTCACACCTATCATGCCAGTGATGTCTTGTTCTTAAAGCTGTGTATTCTGCTACATCAGCACCACGTACAGGAAAGGACAGGAAAGGGATGAGGACAGATTGCCACATCTGGAGTGGTAACCTCTGCAAAGGCTTTCAACCCTGTGCAGCAGGGGTCGGGGTTTTATTGAGCTGAAAACAGTAGACCTGTATTTAAACTTCCATTTATTTTAATGAGAGGCTCATTTAGGCCAGCCCAGGTCCTGCTTCCTTGGGATTTAAATGGCAGGACAGTGTGTCTCTGTAAAAATGTGATGGAGAAAGTGAGACATGCAGTTAAAAGCAGGGAAATATGAATAAGTGGCTCCGTCTTGCACATACTTGGGTCTGTGTTGTCCTGCTTAAGAAAATTGGGGTGTTCTTTGTAAGAATGATTTGTTCCTTTTAAAAAAACATATAATTTTTTTAATTCTCACACTGCCTTCTCACAGGTTGGACCGATGCCGTGGCTTGGCCCGCAGACCGATGAGACCATTAAAGGGCTGTGCCAAAGGGGAAAGAAGAACATGCTGCTGGTCCCCATAGCCTTCACAAGTGACCACATTGAAACGCTTTACGAGCTGGATATTGAGTATTCCCAAGTTTTAGCAAATGAGGTAAACGTCTTGTAGTTTTTATAACTGTTTGGGTAGTGGTGCTCAGAAATTACTTTTGCTGTTTTGAACTTTGCTTTGTAGTCGCTTTTTGCAGTATGATTTGGGACGCTAATCCACCGCTATCCTTACTAAAAAGAGTGGTTGGATTTTTAGCAGCAGGGTGAAATTTTGCATCATAGTTACTTTTTCTGCATTGAACAAAACACGATATTGCATTTAATTCTGCCATTTCTGGGGACGTTTCTGAATGAAGTGGAAAGGAAGACTCTGGAAGGCTGGCTAGTGAGGGATCTTGCAGACTTAACCTCTTTTCTCTTTCTTTTTGTTCAGTGTGGAGTTGAAAATATCAGAAGAGCAGAGTCTCTCAATGGCAATCCACTGTTCTCCAAGGTATCCTCTTTGTTGCGATGGTTGTAAGTTTGCAGTTGTGTGTTTTCTCCTAGATTATGGATGTCTTCTTGTCGTTTTAAAGTATTTTGGGTTTAAGAGTCAAAATGGAAACCCTTGTGCTTGATCTGTGTACCATGGAGTGTTTTCTTTTACCATGGTTTGTTCTGGGTTTCCGATGAATGCACAGAATCACACAGGATGTCCGGAGTTGGCAGGGCCCTGGAAAGCTCCCCCAGTGCAACCCCTGCCAGAGCAGGATCACCAGAGCAGTCACACAGGAACACGGCCAGGGCTTTGGGTGTCTCCACACAAGGAGACTCCACAACCTCTCTGGGCAGCCTGGGCCATGCTCCAGAACCCTCACACTCACAAACTTTGGCCTCATCTGCAGCTTCAACCTCCTGTGCTCCAGCTTGGGACCATTGCCCCTTGTCCTGGCATTGGCCAGCCCAGAGCAGAGCCTGGCTCCTTCCTCCTGACACTGCCCTTTCCAAATGGAGACCCAGGAATGAGGGCACCCCTCAGTCTCCTCTGCTCCAAGCTCAAGAGCCCCAGCTCCCTCAGCCGCTCCTCAGCAGGAGATGCTCCCCTCCCTCCATCACTTTGTGGCCCTGCTGGACTCTTTCAAGCAGTTCCTGTCCTTCTTGAGCTGAGGGCCCAGCACTGGACACAAGATTGCAACTGTGGTGTGAGCAGGACAGAGCAAAGGGGGAGGAGAACCTCTCTGCCCTACAACCACCCCTTCTCATGCACTCCAGGGTGACGTTAGCCTTCTTGGCTGCAGGGGCACAAAAGATGCACACTTTGGCAATCTCACCACTCAGCGTGACTGATGTTAAAGCATTTTGTGTTTTCTGCAGCCGGGTTTGCTCACCACTGGTGTTAATGCCCTGTGTTTCAGGCCCTGGCAGACCTGGTCTGCTCGCATCTCCAGTCCAACGAGGTCTGCTCCCGGCAGCTGACGCTGTGCTGCCCGCTCTGCGTCAACCCAGTCTGCAGGGAGACCAAAGCCTTCTTCACCAGCCAGCAGCTGTGACGGCGCCGCGCAGGGAACGGCCCTGCAGGGAACGGCCTGGGGAAGCAGCGCGGAGGAGAGGGGCTGATGGGCAGCTCTGCTGTCCCGTGCTCGCAGGCTGGCAGTCTGGAGTCTTAACACCTCATCTCTGCGTTGCAGCCTCACCTGACAGCGAGGAGGACTCGACTGTTGTGGTTTTGGGGTTTTTTTCTTACGTTTTCTTTGTTTGAGAAGGGTTTGTCAAAAGTAGGGAAGTAAGGGCCTTGATCCTGTGAGATGCGGCCAGGTCTTGTTTCATCTGACTCTGACTGGACTTGGCACGAGCCCATAAGTACGCACTGAAAAACTTAAAAAAAACTTTTCTAGCTTCTGTTTCCTGAGCGGGGATTTATTTGTGTGCAGTTTTGTCACGAGTGCATTAATTTCAGCTTTCCAGGCCAAGGATGCTACTTGTTTTGGTTGTGTTAAGGTACTGCGTAACCGGCAGAGTCACCGGTTGTCTCTTCCAAGAGTGGTTTTTCAGATGGGTTTGAGGATCAGGTGACTGCTGATGCTTTCTAAATAATGTGGGTAATTTTTTTTTTACAGCATAAAGATAAGGCTTCGTTTGGTTTTGTTATTTTTCTCTGCCAGAAACTTCCAGTGAAAGCTTAGCCGGGACAGTGGAACGCACAAGATTTGTTTACATTTTCTCAAAAAAAGACTCATTATCTGCAGGAAAGCCCCTGCATTCAAAGAGCATTAAATGGAAGGAATGAGCCTGCTTGGGTGGTGCCGAACAACATCCTCAGTTGAAACAAACTGTGCATGTTTTGAAGCAAGCTGGATTATCGTTTAAGCGAAATGGCTTTTAAAAATTATCATTAAAAAGGGCTTTCTCTGTTGGGTTAAGCAAGTTTAGGAAGGCAGGCTTGCTCTCCAGAAGGTTTATAGATCTGCTCTGTGCTTTCTGCCGTGCCACAGCGCTGTGGTTTCTGTGGGATACCTATGGGGTTCCGTAGGTGCAATTGATCTCGCTTAATTGATGCCGTTGTTTAAGCCGAGGTGATCGGTCAGGGGTAATTTACATGCAGATGCCCGACAGCAGGCAGGCGTGCGGGCTGCAGCCGTGTGCTGACACGTACCTCCGTCAGAAGCCGAATTGAGTCAGGTTTTTGGCACTGACCGTGGGCTGGGAGCGCGCACCCATAACCCAGCCGAACTCCTTGCTTGGGTGCATCAGGGCTGCTGAATGTGCTCCCAAGTAGTGGAGTGAAAACCCTTTTCTGGGCCCGTTCTGTGGGGCTGAGCCGTACGTCTGCAGCCCGCGGTCGGCTTTGTGGGCATAAATGTTTACTTTCTGTAATTAGCACTGAAACGCCAGGGCTTTGGCAGTGCAGGCTGATTTCTGTAAATTGATGATTCAGCTGATGGTGACGCTTGAGAAGCAGATGCCGTGCTGCTCATGTTTGATTTGCTCGTGTAATTGAGGCATGAACAGCTTGAACCTCTGATCTTTCAAGGATAGGGTTGCTTAAAAAGGAAATAGGCCTCTGTTGGTACTACAGGGGCGCATCTTGTTCTGTTTAATGAGAGAATTAAAGGTGGGATGCTAAAGAAACGGATGGACGCTGTGTTGATCAGCCAGCACTGCCGTGGAGCGATGCAAATCCTGCTGCACAGCCTCGCTGCGGCCTGGCACGGCCTGAGCGCCTTGAGGTGTCCCTGCCCCACCGCAGCTTCCCAGTGCGGCTGTGGTGAGACACAAACCCCTCAGTGCCAGAGCCCAGCGCCGCTGCTGCCCACGCTGCCCCGGCATAAAGAAGTCTTCCTCCACCAACCTTCCTCCTCCAAACGGTGCCTGTTCTCCGCGGGAGCCCGGAGCCGGGGCAGGTCTGCAGGTGATGTGCGACCAGAGCCCGCTCCGGAGCTGTGACTTCCAGGACCTTGCTGTGTTTGCAGTGCTCTCTGGCCAGCAGAGGTGTGTGGTTTCCAAGCCATGGAGAATCTGTGGGACAGCTTTTCCCCTTTTGTGGACCTGAGCAGAGCTGGGGCTGTTGGGTGTTGAATGGGAGCAGTGGTGGTAGCAAAACACAAAGCTGGCTCCCTCCAGGACCTTTGGTTGCCTTCAGGTGTTTCAGTTTCCATGTGGGTGTCCTCCTGTCCGTGTTGGTGTGGAAAGGACCCAAATTCCTGTGGTGCCCGTCCCCCGGGCAGTTTGTGGTGTGCGTCTCTTTGTCCCTTTCCTGATCCCTGCCTTGCTCGGGTGGTGATCGGCTGCGAGGGGCGACGTCTTCATGGGAAAGCTTTAATCAGTGTAAAGGAGGAGCAGTGCCTGTGGTGTGTGTGGGAAGGGGGCGCTGGCCTTGCCGAGCTGCTTTTCTCTGCTCCCATTTCTCTGCTCAACGCTCACAGGTCAGCGGCCAACAGCCCGTTCTGTAAAACCTTCCTGCCTGCACCTCAGGGGTGCGTTGAGCTCCAGATGCGGGTGGTGACCAGCAGTGTGGCTGGGAGCGAAGCTGGAAACTGAAGGGTAATTTCACTGTGATGCTATAAATATGGATTGGCTTTTTATTTCCATCCTGGAGAGAGCGTGGAAAATATGAGCCAGCACTAATTACGAGGCGTTACGTTCGTCCCCAGTTATAAAAGGTATTTAAAATTCACTTTTTAGTGTGCTAACCACAAGTGAGATAATTACTGAGCCTGTTGCTGCTATTAGACCATAATGTTGAAATCATTTAATTTTCAGGCTTTTAGCAGACAGATCTCATCTCCTGGAGGTGGTGGGGTTCTTCACTGGGCAGATGATGTCATATCGCTGTCCTGCTCTTTAACACACGATTTTGTCTTGCTGCAGCATTGAAAGCCTGGTGAAAAGCTACCTGAGCCAGTTAGCTAGCAGTGCTGCTTAGTGTTTTTAATGGAAATCAAGGTAACTGAGAGTGGTTGGAGGGGGAATTCTGCTGCTGCTGAGATCTTCTAATAGCAGGTTTTTATTTGGGAGGGTTTCTGGCCGTGCTGACAGCAGAATCTGACCTTGCTTCAGATGGAGCTGCAGGCATCCGAGCTGTCTCCTAGGTGCTGTGTGTGGTCAAAGAAGTGTTGTGGTGAGAAGTGGTCCATCTCCTCTCACAGCAGATGTCCCTGGGGGTCGGTGTGTTCGCTCTGTTGCTGCTAACGCAGGCTGGGGTGAGGAGAGGAGCCTCGTCCACCTCTGTGCCTTCTGCTTGGAGGCTGCGGCCGTAACCCTACAGCTCCTGTTTGCCCCTGGCAGGTTTTAGGTGCTTGGTGCTACTGACTCAGGGCCCAGGCTCTGCCCATCCCCAGCACTGCCCGCTCCGGTTGGATACAGACACTTGCTGTGCTCAAACATATATATATATATTTGCTATATACATATATATATACTGCAAAGATGTACACGTTTGAGCATAGCAAGTGTCCATATCTAGGAGACTCTGGTCCCCAGAATCTGGTTTGATTTTTCCACTAGCAGTTACGCCCCTTTTGCAGAACTTCATTCCGTTTGCAAGTGTTTGTCATCCTGCTGTGCCCTGACAAAGAGCACCCGGTTGTTGGCGAGTTTAGGCGCTGTGCTGAGGCAGCGCTGTCTGAAGGCTTTGTTGGTACGAGCAGATGCAGGTTTTGAGGAATCTCCTACGATCGGGCTGTTCTCCTGACTTAACTCTCTGCTGTTTTGCTTTTCTCCTTCTCTGTTCCATTGAAGCTTTTCTCGTTGGGAGTTGGTAAAATCTCCCGTGTTACTGGCTGCGTTCTGGGGAACGTGACAGCTTCCAGGAGCGGTGCTGCACCATGCAAGGTGCTGGACGGTGCCTGTGAGCCAACCTGCTCCCTAGAGAAGGGGGTGTTACGGCTGGGATTTCCCTAGGAATGGCTCAAAGCTCGCTTTGCTTTCCCTTTCTGCCACAGCCCGAGGGTTGGAAGTCAATGGGAAGTGCGAGATGCAAGAGAGAGACAAGTTCCTTTTATTTTTTAATGCCAGATGCGTACAAATACTTGCTTTCAGTCCAACATACGTGTTTTGGACTGAACAAGGACTTCCATGTAATGTAACACAAACAGTTTGTATAACCTTACTATGTGTCTTTTGCCATAAGGATGCAATTCCAATTAAACTTTTTTGAAGAAATGACTGAGCCGTGCGTCCTTGGTGAGAGCCCTTTGCGGTGGTGTTTGACCTCCTCGTGATTCGGGTCTGTGGAGAACTGAACGGCGATGCCCCAGCAGAGCTGATCCCCCTGCGCCCCGGCTTAACCAGGGGCTCCGACTTGGGGTGCCCCCAGAGGAGCACCCAGATGTGCACGAACAACCCCCCCATGAGTCCCAGCCAAATCCCCACTGAACGCTTTCCTAAGAAACGGGCTGGCGAGGACGGTGAAGGGAGGTCTGCACTGTTGCACCTGTGATTGTTAATTTATTCAGTAGTCTATTAACAGTCTCTGGGCAGCTTATTTCTTACGTTAAAAATTAAGTGCTCGATTGATTACTTTCCAGCACAGCGATGGGAGTCGCCGTGTGCTTGAGCCGATCCATTAGCGAGCTCTCGTCACTCGGCTGCGATGGGGAGGGATGGATGGAGGGGAGATGGGAAGCTCTGCTCTGGCACGGGGATTCGTCAGTTTGGAGCAGGTCTTAAACCTGCCTTTTCCTGCTCAATTCGGGTTCATCAGTGCCAGGAAAAGGCTGTTTAATTTGCAGGTCATTTCTCACCCGCCCCAAGGACGGCAGCTGCAGGGCCCGTCCCTCCCATTAGGGCCGGCTGTGGAGGATGCGATGTTCGCAGCCGGAGCTCGGTCTCGTTACCTCGCTGTCCAAATCCATTACCCGCAAAGCACTAAAGAGCCACGCTCCCTCCCGCTGATTTATGGCCAGGTTTCCAGGGTCTCTCGGAAATGCATGTGAAGACACATTTACACTCCCTGGTGGCGAGGAAAGCCTGACACAGCGGCGGGGAGCAGAAATACTCCGGCGGAGCTGAAAGCATCGCCGCAGCGCCTGGAAAAAGCCATTATAAATAG